TATCTAAGGTACTCAAATAATATCAAGAAAACAATTTTTAAAATGGGCAACGAACCTGAAGTCACTCCTCAAAAGGAAAGATATAAATGGCTAACAGATATATGAAAAAAATGCTCAGCTTCTCAAATCATAGAGGAAATTCAAATTAAAACCACAATGAGCTATCAACCCACACCTGTTAGAATCAATATTATCAAAAAAAGACACATGATAAGTGCTACACAGGATGTGGAAAAATGGCAACTCTTGCACACTGCTGGTGGGAGTGTAAATTTATACAGTCATTCTAGAAAACCATGTTAATAGAACTGGCAATCCTACTTCAGAGTATATATCCAAAGGGACTAAAATCAGTATGTCAGAGATATCTGCACTCCCATATTGATTGCAGCATTATTCACAATAGCCAAGATATGGAAGCAACCCTAAGTGTCCTTCAAGAGATTAATGAATAAAGAAAATGTGCTTTACATATGCAATGGAATATGACATAGCCTTAAAAAAAGAAGACTATGTCATTTGAGACACGATGAATGGAACTAGAAGATACTATACTAAGTGAAATAAACCAAACACAGGAAGGCAAATACTATTATCTCAATTATATGTGGAATCTAAGAGTCAATCTCATAGAAACAGAGAACAGAAAGGCAGTTACCAGAGGCTTAAGGGAGAGATGGGTAAAGGGGTGATGCTGACCCAAAGACATAGTATCAAGTTAGGCAGGAGGAGTATGTTTTAATGACCTATTGCTGTTTGGTGACTACAGTTAATAATAATGTATTGCATACTTCAAAATTGCTGAAATTTTGAGATTTTTAGCATTCTCACCACAAAAAATGCTAAGTTGGTGAGGGAATAGATATGAAAAAAATGCCAAGTTGGTGAGGGAATAGATATGTTAATTTGCTTGACTGAATCTTTCTACAATGTATACATAAATCTAAATATCACATTGTATACAATTATTTGTGAGTTAAAATAAATAAATTTTTAAAAATTTAAATAAAGTCATCTCCCTCCTGGGTAACCTTGAGCCAATCACTTAATGTTTTAGTGCTTCCATTTTTATGATATTGGGATATTTACTATGTATCTACCCTATAAGAATATTATAAGGATTAATGAGATTGTTTTCAAAGTATTCTAAGAATTCTTTTCCAAATCTTATATAAATGGCATAACTATGTCAATAATTAGGAACACGTATGTTTATAGTTTAATCTCAGAGTTCATTGCAAAAAATAAGAAATATGGGTCAGAAACACATTGTGCACAAAAATGGGTTAATTAGACATGAACCTCAAGGCAATCCTTCCATTTACTCTGAATTGCTTTTTTAAAAAGTATCTATTTTTAAAAAATACAAAGTAGGGAATTTTCTCTTCATATGTGCACATCTTTATATATGTGAGCATATTTTACATAAAACAGCATCAATCTTGCTTAGTAATAACTTTTTTTATCTTACCATGAAAAAGCTAAACAATCCTATTTCACAAAAAGAATTTCTAACAGTCAAAAAATTGGAGAAAAATACTATATTCAGGTTTTTCTTAATACACATCTATGTGCTTTTCAATCAGCATACCAAAACCATGCACCATCAACACACACTGTGTGCATCTTGTACAAGAAAACATTTTAAAGGAAAAATGAAATTGCTAGCTTTCATCTTTGCAGAAATTCTCAATTGTGATGGAATGAATATTAAAGAAGCTTGATCAATGAAAGCATCTGCATAGTTTTGATTATAAAATGTATATCCTCAATATTACTGATCATTATTATGATCCCTTTTATTGAACTTTCACAAGTTCCAGATTTAAAGGCTTTAAATTCCTGTTTTAAATAATTTATTTAATAATCAAGCTATTCATGCTACACATTTTATAACTAGTTTGTTCAGGCAAAATTTTTCCCTTGTAAACCATATGAGGAAAAAAAACATTTTAAAAAAGTAAAAAACGCATTTAGTACAGAGCAAACTAAATAATGGAAATAGAACTTAAACCCAAGTAACAATTCGCAACTATTCTCTGTAACATAAACCAATCCCTCGTAAGATCAAAGTAACTCTCCTAAGAAAGTAAGGTATCAATTAGTAACCCAATTAGTAACTAGCATTTCCAGTGAGTAATGCCCTATAAAAGCTCAGTAAATACACAAATAGGTACTACTAGAGTAGATATTTTTGTCCATAGAGGAAGTATATACTTAAAAATCAGAAAAAATAAAGCCTGAAAATCTCATTACCTGAAAACCAAAATACATTGAGTTCTCACCAATATTTTACCCAAAAGTGCAGTTTATAGTCTCAATGTTAATATGACACAAAAAGGTCACTTTTCCACCCAAAAGCTATCTGTATTTTCACATGTAATTTTACATGTAAGTAAAATTATCTAGACTATTTCGGTAAAACCAAAATTCTAATTCTAGTGACATTCACTTTATCTTTTCCTAAAAAAGCGATGTCTAAGCATCCTTTTCAGCTACACCAAGTAGCTGAAAAGTATCAAAAAGACAATTCATCAGCCTGAAAAGACAACTGAATAGTCTGAAATCCATTGTTGGAATTTAAAAAAACTTTGTAAGGAAGATGTTCATGCCATATGAGTATCAAAATTATAAGAAAATACAAAACTAAGAATTAAAAAACTTTGTATACACAGAGGGTAGCACAACAGACCTTTGCACTTTACAAACAGTGGTCTTCCTAGTGGTCTAGGTTCCAAAATTTTGAATAATCGCTTTCCTCTAACACCTTATTGCTAACACACAATGCTTCTTTCTTCCATTATTAAATGTTTATTTCCCCATTTCTCAGGTCATTCTCACAGAATCTGTGGTTAAAAGTTTTAAAGTGGACCGGGCGTGATGGCTCACACTTATAATCCCAGCACTTTGGGAGGCTGAGGCAGGTGGATCACGACATCAAGAGATCGAGACCATCCTGGTCAACATGGTGACACCCCGTCTCTACTAAAAAAAAAAATACAAAAATTAGCTGGGCATGGTGGCGCATGCCTGTAGTCCCAGCTACTTGGGAGGCTGATGCAGGAGAAGTGATTGAACCCAGGAGGCAGAGGTTGCGGTGAGACCAGATCGCCCATTGCACTCCAGCCTGGGTAACAAGAATGAAACTCCGTCTCAAAAAAAAAAAAAGTTTTAAAGTGTTTCATCATCCACACTATCACAATGTGCTGGATCCACAGTCAGGAAAAGTTACATTTTTTTTTTTTTTTTTTTGAAACACATACCACAGCAATTAACTGATGTCATGTTGCAACCAGTTGTCAAATACTCTAGCTTTACATTTCTGGGATTCTAAATACTAATACCATATTAGCAAAATATCCATTAGTAACTCGCTGACTAAAAAGAAGTCCAGCATTGACTCTGTATCATGCTTGGAGATGACAACTCTTACAGCACATGTTAAAACATGCATAATCGGCTGGGCGCGGTGGCTCACGCCTGTAATCCCAGCACTTTGGGAGGCCGAGGCGGGTGGATCACGAGGTCAAGAGATCAAGACCATCCTGGTCAACATGGTGAAACCCCGTCTCTTCTAAAAAAAATACAAAAAATTAGCTGGGCATGGTGGCGTGTGCCTGTAATCCCAGCTACTCAGGAGGCTGAGGCAGGAGAATTGCCTGAACCCAGGAGGCGGAGGTTGCGGTGAGCCGAGATCGCGCCACTGCACTCCAGCCTGGGTAACAAGAGAGAAACTCCGTCTCAAAAAAAAAAAAAAAAAAGAAAAAAAAATCATGCATATTCAAATACTGCAGGCGCTGAGTGTATAACATGCATGGAAGGACAAAGTCACTTCATACAAAGCCAGCTGACCTTTATTCTTTTCTCCCTCAAACAAAATTTACCATGAAAGAAATCTAGACAGCGATGTATTACTAGAAATTCATTTACAACTATGATTAATCCAGAAAAAAGAAATCATTGATACCCTGAATTTATATTAGAATTTAAACTAAGTAACAGTAATAATACAAGCTAACAACTATACAGCAGCTACCATGTGCTAAACATTGTTCTAGGCATTTACACATATGAATACATTTAGTCTCTGCAATAATCCTATGAGGTAGGTAACGTCATTATTTCCATTTACAAAAAGGAAACTAAAGCAACGAGAGATTAAATTACTTGCTCAGGTCACACAGCCACTAAATGGCAGTCAGAATTTGAACCTGCATAACCTGGATCCAGAGTCTATATTCTTTACAATGTTGTTCTCTTTAGAAAGCCCTTGAGTACTTTTTGTAAGAAATGCTCAAATATTTTGCAAAAAGTACTTAAAATATCAAATGTTAATACATTGAAATAAGAATATACTGTCTAGCTCCTGCAACAAAAAGTTATCCCCACAAAAGAAAGTTATACTGATTACCAGCTTACTTCTATTATTCCTAAAACATGAGCTTTCACAGTTTTAAAATAATACAAAGAATTGATACTTGAGACTAAACGTGGTGGCTTACACCTGTAATCCCAACACTTTTGGAGACCAAGGCAGGAGGATCGCTTGAGGACAGGAATTTGAGACTGGCCTGGGCAAAATAATAAGATCCCATCTCTATAAAAATTCTTAAAAATTAGCTGAGTGTGGTGATAAGCATCTGTAGTCCCAGCTATTCTGGAATCTGAGGCAGGAGCATCACTTGAGCCCAGGAGTTTGAGGCTGTAGTGAACTATGATCATACCACTGCACTCCACACTGGGCAACAAAAAGAGAGACCCTACCTCAAAAAAAAAAAAAAAAAAATTTTAAATTGATACAGACTCCACTATTTCATCAAATTACTAAGCCTTATATTACATAAAAAGCATAATGGTCATGAAAAGTTAAAGTGAATGCTAGTGTTTAAATTTTGAATCAAAATAAGATCAAACATTTAAAGAATGCCATTATAGATTAAATTTAAAGAAGAAAACTGTATTTCCCAGAGTAATTCTGAGAATAGTTTTTGATTACCTACCTCTCCATGATTGAAAAAGAAGCACAACACTGTAACCAGGCCTCCTAATCGACTGCCACTGGAAAAAAAGATAAGAAAACATAACTCAAATAACAAAAATTCAGGTCAATCCTAATAAAAACCTTAAAATACATGACATCATAGCCTCTGGTATTAGAAAAGATTTTAGTCACACTAAAACTCTCCTATGCTTATTTACAAAGTAGTTTATTCCCTTCAAAGTATAATTAGTCAAAATAACCTTTTTTCATTTTTTAAAAATCATTTGCTATCTTTAAAATGCATAGACTCAGAAAAGCATGCAAACTGAAAGGGAATAAAAAATTCTTACTAATCATATTACTGTACACCATGCAACTTGATTTTTCTTTATATTTTCTTTAGTACTTCATATTTATTTGTGTCTTTTTAGCATTTCTGAAACTATTTTCCTTGGGACAGATGATATACACTAGGAAAAGGGGTGAGAAAGATGGGCAAGGAAAGGGATCCATGGTCATGAGGATGGAAAACCCCACACTGGCTATCTGTTCCTAGAAATTCACAAGGCACTTCCACACATTAAAGATTTAATTCTGTATTTCCCAAACCCAGTCCCCAAGCTACTTTTCTACATAATACACTTGAGGAATACCAGTTTATAGATAAAGTTTTATGTTTCACTTGTTTTCAAAAAACTGGAATAGAACAGAAATATCAAAATGTGACAATCAGACATATAATTCTACGTAAGAAATTATAATGGTATAATCTGGTAGTTCTAACAATTAACCTTCATTTGCTCAGGTAAGAGTGAAATATGCTCCCTACCGCCCCCCAAGTCTGGGTAGGGGACATAAGGCTATGTTTAAGTTTATTTCATCATGTTCTCCATTTTTACTCTTGAGGTTTTCTTACTCATTTTAGCTCAAGCCGCTTTCTCATTATTCTACCCAAATATCCTTCCTTCTTTTTCTCTAAGTATAGGTATGCCACAGATAGGTCAGAGAGGAAACAAAGAACCAGATGGTATAGGCATCAAAGGTCTTGTATTTACTCTTGCAATGTATGAATGAGGGAAAGTGGAAGAGATGGATGCAATGGCCAGCAGGGATAATCCACATAGGGAATATCCAGAAGGAGGCAGGTAGGGCTAGGACTCCAGCACAGGTTGCCTATTTGCCTTGGGAAAAGAGAAGGTGGAAGACTGACAGCATATTTAGTGGCAAGTATTTTGTGGCGTTTTCATGTTCCTCACAGAGCAGAAGACACAGCTACTTGCTGCCAGAGAGAAAAGATGGCAGCATTAAAGGTCTGAGGAAAGAGAGAAATGTCTGGAATACCACTCACATTTCAGGAGAGTATTAACTAGGGAAAACACAAGTGCTGCTGGGATATCTTAAGGAAATAATTGAGGCTGCAGAACACAAATCTATAGGGTCACTAATCCTAAGACTGTGATTTTTGCCTATCAATGATCATCACAGAAAGCACAAATGAGGCTGGCAGTGACGGCTCATGCCTGTAGTCCCAGCACTTTGGGAGGTTGAGGTGGGTAGATCACAAGGTTAGGAGTTCAAGACCAGCTTGGCCAACATGGTGAAACCCCATCTCTACTAAAAACACAAAAATTAGCCAGGCATGGGTTGGGTGCCTGTAATCCCAGCTGCTTGGGAGGCTGAGACAGGAGAATCACTTGAGCCCTGGAGGCAGAGGTTGCAGTGAACCAAGATCAAGCCGTTGCAGTGAACCAAGATCAATCCACTGCACTCCAGCCTGGGCAACAGAGCAAGACTCCATCAAAGAGAAAGAGAGAGAGAAAGAGAGAAAGAAAAAAAAAGCAAGGAAAGAAAGAAAAAGAGAAAGAAAGAAAGAAAAAGAAAGAAAGAAAGAAAGGAAGGAAGGAGGAAAGAGAAAGAAAGAAAGAAGGAAGGAAGGAAGGAAGGAAGGAAGGAAGGGAGAGAGAGAAAGGAAAGAAAGAAAAAGAAAGAAGGAAAGAAAAGAAAGAGAAAGAAAGAGAAAGAAAGACAGAAAGATAAGATAAGAAAGAGAAAGAGAAAGAAAGAAAGAAAGAAAGAAAGAAAGAAAGAAAGAAAGAAAGAGAAAGAGAGAGAGAGAGGGAGGGAGGGAAATGAAACAAAAGGAAAGGAAAGAAAGGAAGGAAAGAAAGGATGAGAGAAAAAGAGAAAGAAGGCGAGGAGAGAATGAGAAAGAAAGAAAGAAAGAAAGAGAGAGAGAGAGCGTGCAAGCACAAATGAAATATAAAAGAGCAAAGAAACTGAGGACACTGGCCAGAAAGTGACTGAAGTGATGGATCACTGAAATAAGAGCAACAGATAGAGGAGCTTGGAAAGCAGGCCAGGAAGTGGAAGCCAGGGTTCTCTCCTGAAAGGTGCAGCATATCTTCTTCAAAAGAAAAGCACACAGGCCATGCCCAGGCTTCATCACAAGCGAGTAGAAATTAGAAAGATTAAGACAGAGTTAAGTGTTTAAAAAAACAAATAAATACATTTTAATGTTTTGAACTTATTCTAACAAGACAAAAAATATAGAAGTTTACAGGGGAAAAAAATGTGATTTTCTCTTGCTACTGTCTCCTAATCCTATTCACCTAAAAACATTTTTCTATGTGTGTATCCTTCCAAATCTCTAACCACACAAACATATATTTTCTACGTGATCATATTAACATCTCTCTGAAATGTGTTCCGTTTCTAATTAATCTGGCATAAAGATTATTCCTAGTCAATACATGTAACCTTAAAGGCATTATTTTTATAGATGGCAAATACTGCATAGTATAAATATATTTTTTTAGCCCATTCCATATTATTCAACATACAAATACTGTTCAATTTCTTGCTATAACAAAAAACATCCTCATACATGTAAATATTGGCACTTTTGTTTTGGCAGGAGGGACCTAACTGCGAGACAGCAAGTCAAAGAATGTAGGCTGCACCTATGTGGACTGTGCCTGCAGCAGTCCACATCCTCGCCACAGGGGATGCAGGAGGTCATTTCTCCATCCCTTGAGCACCATCTCTTGTGCTTTTCAAATGTTGCCCTTAAATAAGTATTTACTTGTATGGAGCATCATTTTAACGTTTTGCTTTGACAACATTCATTTCTCTTCCATGAACTGCTTATTCACATTCTTGTCTATTTTTCTATTAGATTGTCTGTTTCCCTACTTAAAAATTAGGGTTATCAAACCTTTGACTGTCAAATGTGAACATAACATTTAAAAACTGTCCAAAAAAAAAAAAAACCACTTTAAGCCTTGAGAGAGATGTGACTGTGACTTGAGTCACATATGGTTACAACTTTCGTTCTGATTATAGATTAACTCGCTTTCTTATTTTTCTTGTTCTGTACAATAACTAGAGAATTAAACAATGTCAGGAACAAAAACCTCCTGCCTTTTTTTTCCCCAGAGACCTGGTCTCACTCTGTCACCCAAGCTAGGGTACACTGGCACAATCACGGCTCACTACAGCCTTGAACTCATGGGCTCCAGCAATCCTTCTGCCTCAGCCTCCAGAGTAGCTGAGACTACATGTGTGAGCCTGCCTTTGTAATTAAAAACCCCTGTATTAACTTTTCTTTTGTTGTTTTACTTTGCTTAGATCAGACTATAGAAAACTCAACATTATTACACCCTCTGTTAAAAAAAAAAAAAAGTTAAATGTACCCTTCCACCTATAACAATCAAACCGCTGTAACTATGTGCCAACCAGTAGGAATAATGTTGTATTCCCGCTAAAAATTCCTCTAGTCTCTGCCTATGTAAATGAAACCTAAACTTCCCTACTTCCAAAGGCTAACTTCATTCCTTTGGAGTTGGTGTTTCTGAGTGGTCCACTCTCATGCTTTGTGCTTGAATAGATGCTCTTTAGATTCTGATCATTTTGATTATTTGAACACATATGTGTGACAAAGTATTTTGACATAATTTACGTGGTATTCTACCAGAATTTTTTAACTTTCATGTATTTAAATATGTTGATATTTTCCTTTATTTCTTGTGCACTTCCTGTCTGGTCTCTGAAGGTCTTCTACATCTCAAAACTACAGTCTCCTGAAATTACTGGCTAGCCATGTGCAGAAGGCAGAAACTGGACCCCTTCCTGACACCTTACACTAAAATTAACTCCAGATGGATTAAAGACTTAAACATAAGACCTAACACCATAAAAACTCTAGAAGAAAATCTAGGCAAAACCATTCAGGACATAGGCATAGGCAAGGACTTCATGACTAAAACACCAAAGCATTGGCAACAAAAGCCACAATAGACAAATGGGACCTAATTAAACTCCACAGCTTCTGCACAGCAAAAGAAACAGTCATTAGAGTGAACCAGCAACCAACAGAATGGGAAAAAAGTTTTGCAATCTACCCACCTGACAAAGAGCTAATATCCGGAATCTACAAAGAACTAAAACAGATTTACAAGGAAAAAACAAACAAGCCCATTTAAAAGTGGGTGAAGGATATGAATAGACACTTTACAAAAGATGACAACATGAGGCCAATAAACATGAAAAAATGCTCATCATCACTGGTCATTAGAGAAATGCAAATCAAAACTACGTTAAGATACCATCTCATGCCAGTTAGCATGGCGATCATTAAAAAATCTGGAGACAACAGATGCCAGTGAGGATGTGGAGAAATCGGAACACTTTTACACTGTTGGTAGGAGTGTAAATTAGTTCAACCATTGTGGAAGACCATGTGGCGATTCCTCAAGGACCTAGAAATAGAAATTCCATTTGACCCAGCAATCCCATTACTGGGTATATATCCAAAGCATTATAAATCATTCTATTATAAGGACACATGCACATGAATGTTCATTGTGGCACTGTTTATGATAGCAAAGACTTAGAACCAATGCAAATGCCCATTGATGACAGACTGGACAGGGAAAATGTAGCACATATACACCATGGAATACTATGCAGTCATAAAAAACGATGAGTTCGTGTCCTTTTTAGGGACATGGATGAACCTGGAAACCATCATTCTCAGCAAACTGACACAAGAACAGAAAATCAAACACCGCATGTTCTC